CCTATCCCCTGTCGTGCCTTGCCTCCCACGACTTTTTTGCCTATGCAAACTAGTAACCTTGGAGCACCAATTGTTTTGCCATTCTTGACGGACCATAATATATGTGGAAGTCTAAAAAACCATACAATTTCAAAAGGTATTTGTCCATTCTTGCAGCTTTTCGTCATGGTTTGGCGTTTGGGCAAAGAAGCACGGCCCCATGTGTGAATCCTACCAAAATTACAAGAAAGGGAAAAACAGTCTAGAAACAATAGGCTTTTTTTAGCAAAATAGTGATTCGTTATTCATATAAAATAAACTTAAAAAGTCCATTTTATTTAATATCCATTAATCTGTGAAAAGCCTGATTAAATACAATTTATCTAAAGGGTGTGATTTGCATAAGGTTGCAATATTAAACAATCAAATTGAGTTGCAACTCCAAACTTTGTCACGAGATATCGAAAATACTTAGGATGGCACGAGAATTTATGTTGGTCTCTAATTATAAAATTTTAAACTCAAAAAATAGTTCAAATCAAGCAAATCTACTAACACATGATAATCTTGAAAATAGACGGTCCATATAACAACTGCCAGATGTACTATTTTTAGGACTTGAAATCCTTTTTTATCTCCGTATTTATACCTCTCAATATCCAGATGATCAATTAGATGTTTTTCCAAGATCAAAACAACCTTTTTTTGAAAAAATTTAGGGTGCACATTAATTCTATATTTTAAGGCGTCAACTTTATATTAACTATTTCCTTATCAAAATCCTCTCATCTCTTAATTTAAGAAAACTTAGTATTGTTTGGCTCTGGAAAACCATCAGCCTTGGGGGAATTTTGTAATTACCAATTGTTGGCCGGTTTCTTCGCGTATCCCGGCAGCGGCAGATGCATAATTTACGCCCCTGAGAATCTGCCGACCACTTGCGGTAGCATAGGGAAGAATAAGCTGATTGAATCCAAGAAGTTGAGCTGCAATCAAAACACAGGAATATCAACACCTAAATGGATACACAAGAATAATACTAAAGATAAAAATCCTTTACAGCCTATCCTCACTCTTTGAAAATTCCGGAAAAATCTTGCAAGAGGGTTCATGATATGCCCTTGTAGAAACCGTAGACCTGTTGTAGAAACTGTAGACCTGTTTCTTTGTGTTGTAAGGGAGGGCAACTTAGATTATTTCCAAAATAAAATCCGACTTTTCAAAACTGAGATGCATTGTTTTGAAGGTAATGGCGATAACTTCCAAAGACAATGACTCCAATGTTGATTCTAGTACATCAACACCGTGCAGTGACTAATTAAAAATATGTATTACTTATCGACTACACGAAGTGTTTGTAAAGCTGAACCGGTGGGTCCAACTAGTCAAACACTAGGTTTTTTTTATCGGCGATATACATATAAAGGAAAATCCATTGGGAACTAGTCAAAACCGGTAGTAAAGTTTCGGACCTGTATTTTTTTTTAGTGTAAAAGCTTATACAAACAAAAGGTTAAGTTATTAGGAACGGCCTCAAGACTAGGTGATCAGGGTGGCAGGCAGTTGTCTTGAGTTTCATTTCTATCAAGGATAAAAAAAATTTATCTACTGAACTATCCCAAAAGAAAAAACATTAATGTACCGAAAAATTACCTGTGACATCGGTTGTGGTTAACCCGTTGCTAAACCTCCCAGTTGGTCCTTGGGGGAAGTCAATCCCATAGGGTGGATAGTTTGCCCTTGCTAGAGATGCAATGTTGTTGTTGTTGCCATTATCAACAAGAGAGTCACCAAATACGAAATAACATGGCACCTGTTGCCCGTGTGCCACTCCCGTTCCCAAAAATAACGCAAATATGACCCCAAAAAGACCCATTTGAGCAAGCTCTGGTATCGAGGAGCTTGTGAAAGATGCTTTGATGAGCTCTAGTAATGAGGAGCTTGTGAAAGCTGCTGTGATGAGAGAAGCAAGGCATGTGATGGCAAGTATATATAGGAGCAGGCATGGAGCCAAATGTGAGATAAGATATGAGAGCTGAGTCGGCCCCATTTTATCACTTTTACAGTTGAGGGAGTTGGTGGCCTCATTCAATTCACGCGCATCTATGAACATGGTTAACATGGCATGATTTCGATCTCATTCAAATAGCCATCAATTATTGCTGCTCAAGAAATCCACTTTCTTGTGAGATTGACTTTATAGGGTGTCTCACAGGGCCGTAAAGAATGGTGGAGCCCACTCAAAATTGCTGGAGTTCACTACCAGACGTGGGCCTGATTACTATGATAAAAGTAAACAAACGAAAGAAAATAAAAAGAATAGAAAAAAGCTAGCCCATGCAGAACTTGACCCAGCCATGTTGTAAACCTAGCTGAGACCCTTCCCATCCTTGTCCTCGTCTTGTGGAGGCCTACACTAGCGTAGCCCTCGAGCTAGTGGCTCAAGCCTAGTTTTTTTAAAATTGGGTCGATCGGCTTATTTCCAACATAAAGCAATTTTGTCTCACACCATATCCATGATGGTAGATTGGGTATTTTGAGAGAGCAATGACAGTAGGCCGTGTTTTAGATATATGATTAATTGTGACTTCTTTGTACAAAAAGTAAATGGTCTTTTTGTAAACCATTTATCTTTCTTATAAGGGACTCACAATTACACTCAACCATTATATATCGAATTGGATGGCTTGTGGTGTGTCATAAAGTTCGAAAAAAAATCTAGTCAATGACATATTCACAACCACTCAATTTGAAATCTAAAAGGCAATAGTGATTGTGACCTCATTGTGTTAAAAATAAAAATAAATGGTATATATATACTTTTCTGGGAATATGGGCATTCACTTCAAAGTTTGGAGAAGTATACAAAGACTTGTAATGTACATATGCAGTTTATCTAGAGATCATCTACCGTCCATTTTCAATGAAGAGGAGGTGAAGATCAACGGCACATGGATCTCAATAGACTAGTAGCATATACTATTGACTGGCGCTGCACCTTAATTCTACCGTTTAAAGTTGCAACCTTAAATAAACATTTTCATTTAAGTGTGACGTACAATATCGTTGGATGATTACTAAAAAGCTCTAACCCCAAGTGTCACACCATTCAATCAATGGATGCACAGCGATAGAGATAAATTGGTCATTTCCTGTTTTTGTGTTGGGGCCATCTATCTATCTATCACTGTCCATCCATTGATTGGTCGGTGATGACTTAACTCCTCTAGTATGATAGGGATCATGATGTACTTTTTCTGGTTGATTTTTTCAGTCAAGGTTCTGTGAATAAGGGAATGGATTTTGGCTTTGGCGACGTGTTGACTTTGGATATTTAAAACCTGACTGATCAACTAAATTGGTGAGGGCGAGGTAAAGGTTGAACCACTTGGGTTGGGTTTGGTTGCTTTGCTTTGACCTAGACCAGCATTGTGCCGACTTTGAAGAAGGGGTTTGCCATTTATTTTACCCAACTTGCGGCTATTTCAATTTGTCAATATCAATAGTTGTTGCCAGTACATAAGAGAATAGATGGGATTTAAGTTTTGGAATTGAAAACTATTGTTAAACATTCTTAGTAAGGGACACCTCTAAAATCTTGCTAAATGATGAAGTTGATTGCCAAAAATCCTTATGATTATCTATTTCACCCTCAATTATGAAATTTTAAGCTCCAAAAACAGTATAGATCAAGTAAATCTATAAAAACTTAAAAATTTTAAAAGAATAATGATCTTATGAGACCCTCCCACACCTATGTGTGTAGGACCCCAAAAGATCGCCATTAAATTTGGTATAAATATCTAAAAAAGTCAAGTCCCACACCCATGTGGTAACTTTTCTAGAAGATTGAGGTTGGGGTTAGGGTCATGGTGATACACCACCTGAGCCCAGGTAAAAGTCATGGCCTCCATTCTCACAAACACTTTTTAAAGGGGAAAAAAAATCTTAGGACTTGAAATCCGTTTTCTTTTTATATTTTCCTTCTTCTTTTGGGAAGTCCTACTTTTTTTCAAGTTTTTTGTTTGAGAAATTATTAGATATATCATTCAAAGTTTTGAGTATTACCAATATACCAAAATCTCAATTTGTTTATACTCATACCCATTTATCCTGTTTTTTTATTAGTACCCATTTCGCCCTTGCTACAGACTAGATACATCCATGATGCTACAATTGTTACAGATCTAATACATCCATGGTGGTTGCTTGCCCCCATAAACTTGTCGTTTGCACCTCTGGCACACCGCCACAGACCTATTGTGTTTGTTGCGATCTTGTCAAGAATCTATTAGGTATGCAACTATGCCTAAGGCACCTATAGCAAAGCCTAATCCATCGCCTAGAGTCCTGGAATTTCCAAGTGCCTCGCCCCTGCCACAGACCTGCTAGGTCCGTGGTGTTGCCTTCGTGGACCTACCATGTCCATGATGGTGCCTAAGCCACCACGAGGATCTTGGAACTTCTAGGAGCCTTGCCTCCTTAAGGTATTCTTGGGGGAAAGGGGGGGGGGGGGAGGCGGTTGGATTTACGCAACTATCATGCATGTATTAGATCTGTAGCGGTTATAGCATCACAAATGTATCAAGTATGTAACGAGAGAAAAATGGGCATTAATCAAAAGAAATAGGGAAAATGGGAATATGTGTAAATTAAGTGAAATTTTGGTACATCGATAATATTTAGAACTTTTGAGAGATACATATGATCATTTTCCTTTTTATTTTGATTTTGTGCCCAATTTGAAATATCAATATTTTTTACCATAGCCACCCTTTTGGATTAGGGATGGCAATGGACCCGACTAGACTTGGGACCTGACCTTGGATCTGGGTATTGGTCTAAATTTTGGATCCGAAAGGATGGCTCCAAGTCTGGGTCCAGCCGTACCCAACCCGAATAATATGGGTGTATATTATGTGGGTATTCGTAAATGTTGCCAATACGTTTGTTTCTTTGTTGGCAATACATTTGTTCCTTAGGAATCTCCAGTTATTATGTAAAACAGTAAGGAATGTGGGTATTCATAAATGTTGTGCAACACTATAAATATTGTCAAATAATATGATATGATGAGCAAAATATACATAAATAAATAAATAAATAAATATATATATATATAAATGTTCATTGTCATAGGGTGGCAATAGACCCGACCAGTCCCAAGACCCAATGATCTGAGTATGAGTCCAAATTTTGGACCCAAAAGTATGGGTATAGGTCCATGTCCAGCCATACCCGATCCATTAACACCCCAAATGACTAAGATTTAATCTCCCCACCTCTTTCTCTAAAAAAAATCAATGACAAAAAACTGACAGAGCAAACCTTCTAGCGTGCTTTTGCTCAATTTTTATGATTTGTCTTACTCCATTTTTATGTTTCATCCTCTATGGTTCACAAATGTACTTTTCTCTAACAAACCCGATTTTATTTTGATTCGTCATTTTCATTTTTTATCAATATGCCAACCAGTTCCCACAAAAGAAAGACAAGCATACAAACGAAAGACGAAAACACCGGGCGATTAAACTAGATGAGCAGTTAAAGCAATAATGTTGAAGAACATGAAGGCGACATTGAAAATTTAATGCCCATTTCATTTCTATAAAGATCAATTATTCAATTTAATGTGTTGCCCTCTAGCCGTGTGACTCGGGATCGGTCTAGAAAGACTTTGATAGATAGATAGATAGGGGAGCAGCAGTAATTAAGGGGAGAAGGGCACGAGGTACACATGCTGAGTGTATGGGCGGTCTGCACCGACACGTAAACCGAGCACAGTTTTCCCCCACAAGCGAAAGGTGAAAGACAGAGAGAGAGAGAGAGATATTTAATGGAGACATGTAAACACTGGGAATAATTCGGAAAGGGGGTGGATGATGATGATGATGTAAACTGGGAATAACTTACCAAGAGAGAGAATTGATGGTGAGTTTGTAATGGTAAAAAAAACACTTGATATTCTAGCTGGAACATGAGGTTCATGAAAGTGAGATTGCATTACCTTTTTTGAGTTTAAATATGAAGCGGGCCCTAGAATTTTTTCTATTGCCTTTTTCCCTTTCATTTTCAAGAAATAAATGACTAATGTGTACCTTTGTAAAATGGAATGAAAAGTTTCAAACAAATTGACAAGAGTTTGTTAGGAAATGGAAAGCACCATCATCATCATCATCATCGTCAAAACTTTTTTCCAATTAATTGGGATCGGCTACATGAATCTTGATATGTTATTCTGCTCTATTAAGAATCATACTCTCAATGTGGCCATCCTATATCTTTTCTCACTACTTCCAATCATGTCATTTTTTAGCTTTCCGCTTAAAACAATTCACACATCTTAACAGGTGCTATATTGGGTATGCGTCACACATGGCCAACCTACATATGTCAACTATCTCTCATCTCATCGCCTATTGGTGCTACACCTAAATTTTTTCAAATGTATTCATTTCAAATTCTATCCGTTCTTATGTTACAACTCATCTATCTCAACATCCTCATCTCTGCTATACTCATTATATGGGTATAGTTTTTTTGCCGCCCAATGTTTCACTCCACAGAACGAAGCTGGTCTCACAGCTGTCCTATAAAACTTGTTATTCAGCTTCATTAGTATGTGACGATCTGGTATAATTCCAATTTCACATCTTTAATTTTGTACTTGCATTTTGACCTCAATTTCTAGTACTACAAAATTAGGAAATTTTTAAACAAAAAGTAGAAATATTTTAGCAAGAAATACAACTTATACAATAACGCCAATAAACCTCCCTAGGAATGGAAATCACGCGTACTCTTGAAAGCAAAACTTACTCGGGGAAATATCTTCCGCTCCAAAATCTACAGATTATCTCTACTTATCCTATAGATCCGTTTTAAAAATAATAATAATAACAATAATAATAATAATAATAATAAAATCAGATTAAAAAAATTTAAAAAATTTAAAATATTAAAAAATTAAAAATTGTACCCTGAATGTCATTCAGGTGATA